AATGAAACAAGAGGATTGCACTTGTAAGTTTTTTGAAATAAAGAAAATTTTCAGGCTAACAAGTAATTATCTAAAATATTCTGCTCTTGCTTAGTGTATCAGTCTCAAAATAAGATCAAAAATACTTTTTATAAGCCTGAAAGACTTGGCTAGATAAACAGTTAAATTTTACAAATTGCAAACATGACACATCAGGTTGATTTCTCAGTCTCAAAGCAAATTAAAATATAGCAGTAACTTGCAGAATACATGTGCTCTGCTGCTGATTCATCAAACACAATGTCTGACCTTAACATCAACCTTAATAAAACTGCTCTTTTTTCATGCAGATAGTTTGCATAAATTCATTTTCTTTCCTTTTTTGTTGAGTTTGTTTGGTTTTATTAATTTGGACTTCAGAGGTTTAAAATGATCAGTCGATCAGCTCCAGCTGCACATACACTTCAGCTAACCTGCTCACATTTTAAATCACGAGATTTTGTCTGTGCCGTTTTAACAATGACTTATTTTTTTTTCCAATTCCATTATAAACCTTCTTATGGCTTTTTATTTTGGTCTCTCTTATTTAATAGGGTCTCTTTACACTCAGCTTTGTCCTCTCTACAGGGTGCACAGAAATTCACTGGACATCTCCTCAATATAAAGAAAAAGATCTAAAGGGAAATCAATATCTATATTTCACAAGTTGTCAAACAATGACTGCAACAGTTACTGCAGGGGATGAACACCTTCCTCCGTCGATGACACACAATGAAGGGGGGAAAAGAAAAGACGGTAATAAAACTCACATCTGTACTTTGCTTGTCAGCCATACTGCTTGGTGTTAAATGGATCGATCACTGCTTTTTTTCTTTTTCTGTATATTTTTATGGTTCCACTTGCCTTCAATGTGTGTGGGCAGAACAAGTCCAACATGTGCTTCTGATACCACTCATGTCCATGCTCCTCTTAAATCTTTTGCTATATTTATATATTAGGACAAGGTACAGCTTGCATTTCATGTTTTGTCATATTATATAACTTTTTACTCATGCTGTACCTCAAAAATAAATAAGCTTATCATGATTTGTTCTCTAAAAAGCTTTAAAAGTTATAAAATGGGTTGTTAGTGTTTCACATACATTCATTTAATCCATTCTTAATCTTAATGACTTTGTAAAGACCATTTGGCAACACCAACAAGTCATAAATTTCACCTCTTCTGTGATGTAACTCATCATTCAATAAGATAAAAGGCACTAAAACCTTTTTCTGGACCATAAAATTCTCTGTCATGTACCCCTGAAATATTATTAAACCATTGATTTTTCCACTACGGCTCAAATTGGATCAAACTTTATTTTAGGTGAATTATTAAATGAATGAAAGAAAGAAAAAGAGTTTCAACCAAAACAGTGTTAAAAAAATCTCCTCCTAGGATAAATCACGATTAACTTTTCAATAAACTGTTGAAGTGATAACAATGATAGTTTTGTTACAAAACACCAACAATTAAAAAAAAAAACTATTTTGACAAAAAAAAAAGACGTTTTAACAATAACATTCTTGGTGACATTTTGAACAAAAAACAACAATTTGAGAAAAACGAACCAAAAGTTTGTTGCTTTCTCAACTGAGACATCAATGCAAAAAATAGCCAAACCCCTCTTATTAAAAAATAAATAAAACATCCTGTTTAGTTACAATGAAACACATCCTCACCTATGATAATCCATGTTTGTTACTATTTATTTTTCCAATATCAAAAATTAAGTGCTTCTCAACACTATTTATTTACATTCATGATGCAAAAACTTGGTCAATATTAACTTTGACATCTATTGTAACCCATTTTTACTTTGAAAGGAAACAAATACATACACTGACTTGTTAATGAAACTTGTCACAACCAGGAGGGTAAACTCATCTATGTTTAAACTGTCAGGATGAAACTTAGATAAAAATATCAAACTTCATCCTCAAACACTCCCTCATCTTTGAGTCTTTCTCCTGCTCTGCCCACTCACCCAGTTCTCTTTTCATTCTACCTTTTTGATGCCCACTTCTTCCGCGCCATATCTTTTTCTTGTTATCTCTTCTCATGTCCCTTCCTTTCTCTCCCTCCGCGCTGACCCTTCCACCTCTTCCCACCTTCTCCTCCTGCCCCATCATTACTCCTCTTTCAGCACTCATCTTTCTAAGGCTGCTGAATTCCCCAGCACAACAGTGCTATTCTGCTGCCTACTAATAGAATCCCTCAGTTCCTCTAATGGATCTGTCAGAATCTCCTGAGAACAGCAGAACAGATGGATTGATAGGGCGGGGGAGAGACACAGAGAAAGGGGGACAAAGAGACGGAGAGATGATGAGACAGAAAGGGAAGCAGAGAGAAGGGGGGAGAAAAGACACGTCGGGGTTCTCGACACTTTCATCTGCGCCTCGGAGAGTCTCTGAGCAGCAGCTCCTCTGACACGACCAACCAGCCACCATATGGTCCAACAGACAACGTGCTGCTTAAAGCACCGCAGGATAATGACAGTTTCACTACGGCCAGGTGAGGACAACAAACCGAGCAGGTCTTTCTAAGAATCTGCCAGTAATAGAACATTTTTTTATTATTATTATTTTATTTTAGCTGCAGTTCATCAATAGCTGCGTTTCCATTGACACGAAAATGCGCAAATTATAATTTCAAAAATTAATTTGCTCAATGGAAACACGTCAATTTAAAAAATATATATGTTTTTCAACAAAGTGGTTTTGCGCTAGGATGAGGTGGTTTTTCGGCCGTATCGAAATTGATGTATTTCGCAAAACTGCAATGGAAACCCTTTTTTTGCACCACGGGAGTCACGTGATCAAGAACCGGCTGTTTCTACTGGCGAAAAAGACAACGAAGAAGAAGATAACAGGAAGTAAAAGTATTTGTAAAATCATTGAAGTAGTAAAAGAAAGTATTAAACTCATCGACTACAATTTCCCAAAACTGCAGCATGTGTTTTTTCAACATTAACAGAATATCAACATAGTTCTGCACACATTTGCAATGGAAACGCAGCGACTGACATTTATCATTAAGAAATAATTATCTGCTGAATACAACCGAGAATTGTCCTGATGCATCTCAGTAATCCAGGTAAAAAATCAAAAAAAAATTGTATAGGTCYTCTGGACGGGTTCTTCTCTAATGAAACGTTTMGTCTCTYCTCCAAGAGACTTCTTCAGTCTGAGAGTTTCAGGCWAAATTCAGGCTKTTAAGCCCTGCCTCCATGTGACTGATACTCACATCACATGGCTATCGTTGACACCTAATTAACACTTATTGTTAACAGGGGGTGGAGTGAAATTGGCAATGGCCACGCTGTAGGAGGGGGACAACTGAAAACGGAGGCCTCCACCTCTGTTTAATGATGGACGGTCTTTCTTCACAAAAATGGCTTCTTTTACTCCTCTCTCAAACCAACGTTCCTCTCTATCAAGAATGAGAACATCCTCATCTCTGAAAGAGTGACCGCTGGCCTGTAAATGAGTGAAAACTGCAGAGTTCTGGCCATTAGACGTAGCTCGTCTGTGTTGGGACATTCTTTTGAACAGTGGCTGCTTTGTTTCCCCGATGTATAACTGGTTGCAGTCCTCCAGGCACTTAACAGCATATACAACATTGCTCTGTTTGTGCCGGGGCACCGGATCTTTGGGGTGAACCAGCCTTTGCCGTAATGTGTTTTGGGGTTTGACCAGTTATACATCAGGGAAACAAAGCAGCCACTGTTCAAAAGAATGTCCCAACACAGACGAGCTACATCTAATGGCCAGAACTCTGCAGTTTTCACTCATTTACAGGCCAGCGGTCACTCTTTCAGAGATGAGGATGTTCTCATTCTTGATAGAGAGGAACGTTGGTTTGAGAGAGGAGTAAAAGAAGACATTTTTGTGAAGAAAGACCGTCCATCATTAAACAGAGGTGGAGGCCTCCGTTTTCAGTTGTCCCCCTCCTACAGCGCGGCCATTGCCAGTATCACTCCACCCCCTGTTAACAATAAGTGTTAATTAGGTGTCAACGATAGCCATGTGATGTGAGTATCAGTCACATGGAGGCAGGGCTTAAAAGCCTGAATTTTGCCTGAAACTCTCAGACTGAAGAAGTCTCTTGGAGGAGAGACGAAACGTTTCATTAGAGAAGAACCCGTCCAGAAGACCTATACAATTTTTTTTTCTTTTTGACAACTAAGAATTGTTCCATCATGGGAAACCTTGACATGAAGCTGTCACTTCATAAAATGCTTGTTAAAATATTTATACCTCTAAAATAATTTGAATACAATAAAACAACCTCTAAGTGTACTTTTAGTAAACTTTTGCCTCTTCTCCGTGCAAAGGTTGACTACTTTTAGTCGACCTAAGCTCCAGTTTTTAATAATGTTAACAAAGTTATTTGGTTAATTAAGAAAAAACAGAAAATGTGACAATGCATACAGCCCAGTACAGATGGGGACTAAAAGGTTTTGTTTCTCATCGCAGTGGAGCCCACAATAGGAAAATTGGGGATTTTTTTTGCATGCATTCCCAAGCAATGCTTTTGCATTACCTCACATACTTTTTATATTCCCTCGCAAAAGCCGTTTGCTACTGTTGTGCCTGCTGGTATATTTTATAAATTCACATGTTCAGCATTACACGTGCGTTAGCCCACTACATTAATTCAGCTTAGATATTTAATATTCAGGTATTTTAACTCTGTGCAGCCATGAAATATCATCGTCAAATTCCCCTACTTGTGGCGACACATCCTGTTTTGGTAACCGGATATTTCAAAATAAAAGTCTGATTTAATTCAACTCATACAATACAAAAAACTTTTGCATGGGAATGCAAAAAAAAAAAAAAAAAAAAAACATTGCGAGGGAACACAAAAGAAAAAAAGTCATCCCATGTCCCCTTGCGGGCTCTGTACCATTCAGGATGGTCCAACATTTACGTTTTTTTAATGCAATATGTATATTTGAAATCTTTATAAAACTCACCATTATCTGTTGCGATGAAGACAGCTGTGTATTTACTGTCATGAACATAAGGAGACTCTCGATCCAGTGAGGCTGAGGTGTTGACAGTTCCTCTGACCGGGTTCACACTCAGCCAGCCTGCTGGGTCTCTCAGAACAGCATATCTGAAACAAGGTGACAATAAATAAATGATGAAAGAAAGAAATAAGACGATAATTACAGTTTTAGGTGCCTGTTAATTAGCAATCAACAGAAACCACACACAACAAGAACTTATTGTCATCATGACTTTTTTATTCAAGAAAATTTACAACTATTGTTGAAACAATAAACCTAAACAACAGTTCATCTTTTCTGTCATTCTGCATATGTGGTATGCGATGGGGACCTTAGCAGAATAAAAAGGACACTTTTGTTGAGTTAATTGCTTTTTAAAAAAACATTTTTGTAACTCAGTTGATAAGCAGTTATGAAAGCAAGTTAAATCCTTGCATCATTTGAAGCCATTTTAAATTCAAATGGACACATATTTAAGATATTAAAAATGCCTCTATTTCAATCAAACAATGGAAGCTTTCCTTCAGAGTATAGAAAGTTTGAATAGGTCTCACTTTTTTTCCCCACTTAAACCTGAAAACGGGACGTAAAAGTATTTTCATCATGTTCACTGTCTTTTTGAAGGAATGGAAACTGCTTTAAATCAAGGACAAATAATCAGTGTTTTTCTTGTAATCCACGGTGCAATGAGTCAACACTGCTGGAGATCACATTCTAAACTAACCGAGCAACAATCTGTTGAAATATAGAGGAAGATCTTTTTGAAGGAGAAGATGGGCTTTTGTACAGTTTGGCACACAATATGATGGAAAATAATCTAAAGTGAAGATGGTGTAGAAAAGGTCGAGTGTTGCTTTCCCTGCATCGACAACATTTCAGCTTGACTGCAGCAGCAGCAGCAGCAGCACCTCCTGCAGAGCTGAGGTCTTAAGATGATGGAGAACCTCTCCACAAATCTTGTGGGCGAGCAGCCAAGCCGGCATCGCCTTGAAAACGAGATGAAGGGCGGATCACGACCTTGCTAATGTAACCACTCAGTCTAGTACTGATGACTGCTAGATGCTGATTAGAAAGAGACTTGCATTTATTCCACCGTCACACCGAATTGATTTACGAGCTCTGCTGCACCACTTTTTCACACATATATCGATGTGCGTACTCAGGCTTACCCATGCTGTATACTTGTCCGATGCAACATATTTCATACGTACAGAGGCAGCTAAAAGTTACACAAATACACATAGAGACACACAGGACTGTTCGCCACAAGGCCACTCATTCTCAAAGTGCTCAGAGGTAGAGAAATTGTCTTTGAAATTGAGCTCTTCGGCTAACAGAGCACGACAAAGCCTTGGGAAATGGCCTTGCAATCAACCTCGGCTCACACCTCTCCCCTCGTGCTCTTACATAGACTTTCCTGTGATTACTACTGTTAACCTACACATGTGTTTTACTGGAACAAAAGAGGAATGCACTGAGGTTAAACGCTCAGTTAATAATGACTTGTTTAATGCTATATGTGGCCTATCCAAGTCTTTCTTTTTTTTTCACACACTGCCATGCAAACAAATGTGTGTGCGTGTGTG